ATATTAGGGTGCCTGGGTGGCTCAGTTGGTTGGGCATCCAACTCTTGGTCTTGGCTCAGATCATGATCTCGTGGTTCCTGGGATTGAGCTCCGAGTCAGGCTCTGTGCTGGCGGCATGGAGCCTGCTTGGGATTCTCTCTCCCTCTCTCTCTGCTGCTCCCTGACTCATGCTCTCTCTCTCTCTCTCTCTCTTTCAAATAAACATCAAAAAATAAAATAAAAAGGTGCTAATAATTAGAATTCATTCAGAAGCTAAGAATAGACCAAGTTGCTGCCATCACAGGTAGTGCTCTGCAACAGAGATTCAGTGTTAGTGGTTCCAGAAGATCACAATCAAGTCATAGTGGATCAGAAGAACAGAGACGGATTCTCACACAAATTGTTATTTAGCTTGAGATTAGGCAGGACCAACACCAGGTGAGGACTAGTGACAGTTCTCTCTGACCTGCTCTCAGTGAAGAACAACAAGGTGTCCTGAGGTAGGGATTCATCATAGCATATGATATGATGCCCTAAGGTAATGATTAGCCCTGTTTTTATGAAAGTGTTTTCTGCTGAACACTCTGTGAGAGGACCCTATAAAGGGAGTTCCTTAGCCTAAAAAGAAACAGAGGAAAGCTACATGCTATTGGCTGCTTTTAAGGATTCATTAATACATAGCCCTATTATTTAGGTGTCTGAGAAGATGGGGTACCATGAAGATGGTGGTTTACCTTTAACCCAGTTAAATTTGACAAGGAACTTCCCCATCCCCTAACAATACCTATTACATTTGCAACTTTCTTGAAGGATACTTTGAGAAACAGTAGTCTAATATGACCTTAAAGAGCTTTAAAATTTTTTTTAACATTTATTTATTTTTGAGAGACAGAGAGAGACAGACCATGAGCAGGGGAGGGGCGGAGAGAGCGGGAGACAGACTCTGAAGCAGGCTCCAGGCTCTGTGATCTTAAAGAGCTTTAAAAGCCCTCTTTCACATTGCAATGCCTGAATCCAACTAACAACCGCATGATTTTGACGTAGGACTAAGTCTGAATCTATTTTCTGAAAACTAGTTCTATAGAGACTCTTCTCCCACACCACAAGAAAAGTAGCCACCAAGCAAAATGGTCTTGATAGGGACAGGGACAGAGACAGAGAGGGTGTAACGGAGAGGTTGGTGGTGGCTGAGGAAGGGGAGAAGATCATAGACAACGGGAGAACCCTGGTGTTGATGAGTAAGATAAGATGTATGGGGCGCCTGGGTGGCGCAGTTGGTTAAGCGTCCGACTTCAGCCAGGTCACGATCTTGCGGTCCGTGAGTTCGAGCCCCGCGTCGGGCTCTGGGCTGATGGCTCAGAGCCTGGAGCCTGTTTCCGATTCTGTGTCTCCCTCTCTCTCTGCCCCTCCCCCGTTCATGCTCTGTCTCTCTCTGTCCCAAAAATAAATAAACGTTGAAAAAAAAAATTTTTAAAAGATGTAAACAGATGAGGATTAAAACCCCTCAAAGAGCATTGCTTTCATGAAAAACAAATATTGTGCATAATTGTGAAATAAAGGAGGTGATGGATCAACTTTTGTCATGCACTTTTCTTTTCCTAAGCACTTTTGAAAGTAATACAGATAATGACTTTCCCAAGTTCAGGCTCAGTGCAGAAATGTGACTTTGTCAAATCTTCATTAGCTAATTAGATCATTTCCTCCAAGTAAATTGCTCTAAGAGATGAGAGCCGACTTTGTAAATATGTCCCCAAGAGAAAAAAGGTCCAACTTGCTGATAATCAAGCATATGGAGGGGAGGGGATTCTGTTCCCAGTTTGGTTCTTCTCTACCCTCGTGGAAGGAGAGGTGGATTTTAACACTACGGATTGGGTTCAGCTGTGGGATGTGTGCAGTCATTGAAAGTGGAAGGATCAGATCCTCTTCCAGTATCTCCAGAATAGCCAGGAGACAAATGAAAGAGCCCTGGAGGCCAGGCGAGCATCCCAGAACAAAAGTCTCCATTACATTCAAGATGGTGCCCTTATCCCTAGCTCTGCTGTTTTGCCCTGTCATCAAATCATGTTTCCCTGCAGAGTGGAGAGGCAACCAATGCATACAAAACAGCACTATATGAATTTTTCTTTTTTCCAACATTTTGAGTAAAGGTGACAGCAGGCATATAAGTATTTCCACAGTCTTGGTGGGGAGCCGATCTCTATCAGCGGGTTCAACTCTATTTGCAGCGACTCCAGTGGCAAGGGGAGTTTTTGTTCAGACAAAAAGAATTCCAGCAAACGGTAAATGTTTCTTCCTGCTGAGAAGTGGGAAATTCAATAATACTTTGGCTGGGTTCATGCTGAGTAGCGAAAATAGAATGAATATGGAGAGGGATTGTGACTTGAAGAGCAGTAAATCAGCTAGCCCAGACGCTTGCAACAATCAGCTTTTAATCTGAAACCTCTCTTGTTTCTACACCATTCTCCAGGGTAACAGGGTCGTTTTTACACTTGTTCTTAGAGTGTTTTGTGCTGCAATCCCTTGTTTACCCTAAGAAACAGAATTAAGCACTGTGAAGTCTGAAAAAATTCTCCATTCTTCTGTACATGTATTATTCTGTCACTACAGGACCATTTGCTAGACATCTTAGGAAAAGTTGGTGTGGGTGTTATGGTAGTAATAGCATCCCTTATTATGCCTGAATATGTTTTTCTTCTGTAAGTGAAGTCACAAATTTCAGCAGGAATCACTAGAATGGAAGTCCCATGAGGGCAGGGATTTCTGTTTTGTTCACCGTTTATCAGCAACACATAAGTGCTCTAAGACATCAGTGAATGAATATTAGTCTATAGACTGTGAAAAGTATACTCAGCTATGAGCTCTCTGAGATGTCTATAATATTAAAGCCCAGAGTCACCCCCGTTTTTCTGGCTTTTTATTACATATGATTTTGTAGAATAACTCTGATGTATGATTCTATGGAAGGAATTTTTAATAGCATGTTTATTTTTCAAAAGTTACATCACTAAAACCTGGTCATCATAGAAAAACTAGAAAATGTACACATCCAAAAAACAACAGCTATGTTTATACTACTCGGAGGTAATCACTGCTATGATTTAAATGTGTGTTCTTTGGGATTTTCCTATGTGCATATTGATATGTTTTTATAGTGATGAGATTAGATTCTGTTTACTGCTTTTTTGATTTAACAGTATTATATGAACCTCTATTTTTATTAATAGACCTCTATATCCCTTTTCCATAGTATCACAGTAGTATATTTTAAGAATGTACCAGAACTTCACTAACCCCTATGATTGTATATTTAAGTTGTATGTTTAAGTTCTGATCTTTTGCTTGATCATATTGGAAGAGATATGTGAAACTGGTTTTCACAAAGGTAACCTCTTGTTTGATAGATCTGTCCCCTAATCTTAGCCCTCCACGCTGACACAACTGTGTATTACCTTTCTTTGCTGGCCTTTTACATGTTAGTACAATCGCCTCACTGAGAACTAGTGTTTGAGGAAATGGCTCAGCACCTGCTCTGTCCTTCATACCTTTTACCTGATTGTTCTATCTCATCTGTTTGTGATTATCATTTAACCTTTATTCACTTTTACATGGTATCACAGAGTGCTCTCCAGTGGGACCGAGCCAGGGAAGAGGTGGGGTGGGTGGTGGGGGGCAGAGCACAGGGGAGCAGACGAGGAGGAATCACTTTAGTACTTTATGTCTTTATGTGTCTTGACTGCTCATTTCTTTTCATCACTGAATAATATCCCGTCGTGTAGGTGGTCTACAACATGGACAGCCAGTTGAAGGAGTTCTTGGCTTACAGTCTGTGGCAATGATGAATAAACTTCTATAAAATTCATATGCAGGTTTTTATGTGGACACCGGTTTTCAAATCAGTGGGGGTAAATACCCAGGAGCAGAATGTCTGGATCGTGCGGTAAAACTATGTCTAGCTTCGTAAGAAACTGTCAAACTGTCTTCCGAAGTGGCTCTGACACTTTGCATCCTCGCCAGCAGTGTCATCAGTTTTGTTTTGGATTTTGCCCATCCTAATAGGTGTGTGGTGTATATCATTGCTCTTGTAATGTGCAATTCCCTAATGGCACAAATTGTGGAGCCTCTTTTCCTGTGTGCCTTTTTTGCTATATGCGTATTTTCCTCGGTGAGGAGTCAGTTCAGATCTTTTGCTCCGAGGTAAAGTGGGTTGTTTATTTCCTTTTGCTGGATTTTAAGAGTTTTCAAAAAACATTTTGGACACTAGACCTTTCTGTGTGTGTTTGGCAAATATTTTCCCCGTGAGGTACTTTTTATTAGCGCTTCGAGATTGTTTGCCACTTTGCAAGCCTGGAAGCTTACACACAGTGCTAAATGCTGAATCATGGTATGACTCTGCTCACCTGTGTTTACTTTGCTGTTCCCCAAAGTGATACCACTGCTCCCACTCACTTCCTGAACTCCATTCGTTCGCTGTCAGAGAAGCTTTGTATTCTGGGATCCTCATTGTCTGTCTCTAGGTTGTGTACATTGTCTATCTCTGGCCTCCTTGCTCCCATTGTCTATCTCTTTATTTATTTTAAGTAAATGACGAGGGTGATAATGTTATTTATTCATCTACCTGCAGTAAGATTCCCAGTGAGGATCCAACTTGTTTGTTTCCTGGTTTTATTTTTTTTTATTTTTTTTTAATTTTTTTTTTTAACGTTTATTTTATTTTTGGGACAGAGAGAGACAGAGCATGAACAGGGGAGGGGCAGAGAGAGAGGGAGACACAGAATCGGAAACAGGCTCCAGGCTCTGAGCCATCAGCCCAGAGCCTGACGCGGGGCTCGAACCCACGGACCGCGAGATCGTGACCTGGCTGAAGTCGGACGCTTAACCGACTGCGCCACCCAGGCGCCCTGTTTCCTGGTTTTAAAGAGAACAGACAGGTCTAGGGGAGAGCAAGTTGCCCACAGTAGTTAGGTTGTGCCGTGTCATTGGCAAGGCTAATGGTTGTCTGTCTTCCTTTGCATGGCCTCCAGTCATCAAGCCTCCTCTACGTCATTTTAAACGCCCTGCTTACGCGTCTAGCTCCTACGCACCTTCGGTCCCAAAGAAAACTGACGAGCATCCTGCGAGGTACAAGATGCTGGATCAGAGGATCAAAATGAAAAAGATTCAGAATATCTCACATAACTGGAACAGGAAATAGGTCAAGGGGAAGAGAGGGAGTGAAGGAGAGACCCACTCCCCTGCCTCTCAGCACTCACCGGCCACAGTGGGATGTGCTTCCAAGACCGTTGGAAGCCTTGGGGGCTGGTGCTTTCGTGGTTGACTCCACCAAGGCAAAGTGAAGGCTGTATGTGATTTTCCCCTTTGTTCTGTTATGGACCCAGCCGTTACTGGATTTGGGAGTCAATGGAGACTCCAGGAGTAAGAGGTTAGTCTCATGTGGCTTATATTTGTATAGATCTTTCAAAGTCTAAATAGAACCCAAATTAAAATAATGCCACCTCTTTAGAAAACATGGAATCCCTCCCACTGACACTTCTTTCATCCCTAGAAGTTGACTTGCCCCAGTAAGAATATTGGTTTAATAATCATTGTATTTAAGAAATGTAAGTCTTAAAACATCTTTTCCAACTTTAAATACAGTAGAAAAAGGTGTTTTTGCATATGCATTTCTTAAATATGGTGATTATTATAATATTTAAAATGTAGGTGAATATGTAACTTCCAAAGGAAATGCATTAAAGATAAAAGTTGTGTTTCTGAATGTAACAATCACAGCGGAAAAGAAGACCGATGAATAGAGTTCATAGGTAATTCTGAACAGAGGCTTCACAGAGAAGATACAAGTTAAAAATAAAGACGCATGCTTTGGTTTTTGTTGCATGCTCACACAATCGCCTCATTTCGTACCTTTTGAAATTTGAGAGTTTGCAGGAGATACATTTTGGCTGTACTTCTAATTTGTTACTTTCACTTACAGTTGACAATTCTAGAAATCAATGAGATGCCCATGCCTCAGAGACTCCAGGTTTGAGATCTACCCCAGGAGAAGTCTTGTGGTCCTGGGGCAGGAGGATGTAAATTGCTGAACCTAATTTAAATCTCTAATTTGCAGATTTTTCTCCATAAAGTTGGAGATACCTTTAAGTTCAATTTTGGATAATCTTCCCGGCAGACCATATAGCTGAGCCCTTTGGGATCTCAGTTGCTCTTCCAGCTCTTGGAGGAATGGAAGTCAATAACTCACCTCTCTTCATTGCGGCATTTTTAGCTCTTCTGAATCTCTCCTAGAGTTTTTACTTTGGGACTAAAATCACACAAAGTGGGAAGGAATCTTTCAAGGCCAGAAATAGCTTTTGATCCCTTTAGAAATGGTCTGGTGCAGTGGAAAACTTTAGGTTTGTTGTCAGGCGGTTCTGATCTCCAGTCCTGTGCCGTCTATAACTAGTTGCATGCCCTTGGTCTAACGGCATAATCTTTAAAAGCCTCAGTTTACTTAACTAGAAAGTGGGACTCATAATACCCACTCTGCCTTTTGTGGTGAACATTGAGGGTAATGTAGGTGTGGATTGTTATTGCTGAATTCAGTGAGTAATAGGAACAGAACAGATGTAATTAGGAGCATTCCACATCCAAAAAAAAAAAAAAAGAAAAAGAAAAAGAAAACAAAAGAAAAGGAAAAAAACCAAACAAACAAACTCCCAGGCACAGTACACAGAAGCTGTGTACTGATGGCCATAGCCTCTGGAGTCTGACTGCAAACGGTTTAGTGTTCTCTTCTCTCTTTCACCACAGTTCACTTCTAGTAAACCACAGTTATGCAAGTTGAGCCAGCTCCAGAGTTTAGTGCCCATCACGCTAGTGAGTAATTTATTTATAACATGGTTTACAATGGTGTTTCAGGGAAATTTAATTACTCTACAAAAAGAAAAATCACTGTGACTTTTTGTTAGGAAAGCAATTGTAATTCTTAACTCCCTGCTTGGTCCCTGAGCGACGGGATCCTTCTGCAGGCTCACAGCGTCTATTCTGCCTGAAGAAGGTTAGCTCAACAGGTACTTCCTCCCTGTTTGTATACAGGCGCCTTAGTGCCTGCTTCACAGAGCCATTAAGCAAACAGTGAAACTGCCCATGGGGTACTGGCCTCCTTGCTTCCAGTGGATCATCAGTGATGTTTATCATCTGTCCTGCAATACTTTCAGTCTTAGGCATTGAGATAGCAACGTGGCTGTGCTTTCTTGACTGTGCTTCTTGACGTTAGAAGCCATGATCCTAGGGCAGAATTTTCTGTATTGTTTTATCCCAAGATGCTATTTTTCAGCTTTGGCTAATATTTTGATTGAATTCAGATACTGAGATTCCTCATTGCTTGTAAGATACCTACCATGTGTTTTGTTTTTGTTTTTGTTTTGGCGTGATGGATTGTGTACAAATGCCAGATTATATTCTTACAGCAAATAAAAAGATGCTTTTCAAGGACTTTCTTGTACGAGTCACCTTTTTCATCTTCAGAATTCTGGGGTTCATTTGAAAAGCATTAGATTTTCCCTATCCTTGACACTATTTAGTCCTGAATATCTTGTCAAGATGAATAGCATAATTTAAACTTTTCAATTGGCTTCCTGATTGTATAGGTGGTAGGGTTTTTTTTAGACCCCCTTCTTCCCATACCACAAACCCAGTCGATTAATTTGTTAATATGAGTAACCCGTAATACCAGCTAGTCTGTAGGTAAACACCTGTGTTATCAACTTGGTTTATATTATTCCAGTTAGCAGTTCAGAACAGGCACTTTGGGGGGTAGAAACACCTATCACAGTACCAGGGCTAAGCATATGGTAACGATAGCAATAAATATTCTCTATTATTTCTTGGAGAAAGAGTGGAGTATAGTAAAAAGAAGTTAGGCTTTTGAGTTTGAGAGCAACGTCCCTTACTAGTTTTATGACATCAGATAGGTTGTTCATATTCTCCACCTTCAGTAAAAAGATGTTAATGATTTAATTAGTGATGTTTACCCACCTGCCTGTTCTCCCAGGTACCAGTTTCTGCCTCACCCTGCATCTCCATCTTTAATATGCATTTCAACATTCAGTTGGAAACCCGACAGCCCACCCTCATCCCATGCTCCCTTCACCTGTGTCTCCTGCACCCTTGGAGTTCTCGGGCTTCCGTCTTTTATCTGTCGTGGCTGCCTCTTGCTCTCATCTTCCACTTCGCTGAACCCTTGTTCACCCCTGGCCTCTTACTCCTACAGTTCTGTCTTTCGTCTCTTCCTGTTCACCCCATCTCTTTTTCCACACCCCATCCCTTTGTTTTTTCCAAGTTCCACCGATACAAGCCTACTGTGTAGAACGGACTTTACCAGAAAGTTTAGGATGATGGCACAGCAGAAGCAAATATATAAATTAAAAATCCAATAGCAGGGGCGCCTGGGTGGCGCAGTCGGTTAAGCGTCCGACTTTAGCCAGGTCACGATCTAGCGGTCCGTGAGTTCGAGCCCCGCGTCAGGCTCTGGGCTGATGGCTCGGAGCCTGGAGCCTGTTTCCGATTCTGTGTCTCCCTCTCTCTCTGCCCTTCCCCTGTTCATGCTCTGTCTCTCTCTGTCCCAAAAATAAATAAAAACGTTGAAAAAAAAATTAAAAAAAAAATCCAATAGCAGTATCAGCTAGTCTCCCTTTGCGGATGATTCTTCATGGCTGTTTCTTCCTTAGACACAGATTTGCCTGCATCTTCTTGGATTTCTCCTTCTACCAAGACCTCCCCCCCGCTCTTGAACTTTAAATTCCTATGAATTTACAGAGCAATCCATCTCTCACTCCCTACACCACACAAGTTCAAGGCACTTTTAAAGCTTATGAACTCACTCTGCCAAACAAAGCACATTTATTCTGGGTCCTGCTTCTATAAGCACAAAGAACTGACAGAAGCTTCAGAACGGTATTTTTTCTCTTTGTAATATAATCTAATTCTTAGGCAGGACCAGTCCCTGTAAGAAAAGAGCAGTATAAGTCTGCCTGTCCCTCTTCCCACCCCACTTCTGGCCAGAATAAGTCCCTAGGTATTGTTTTGTTTTTGTTTTTCCATCTAGTTGTAATACTAACCTCAGATGGGTAGGGGGCAGTGACTGTCACTAATAGGGGTTGAGAGAATGCTAATTTCCTTCTCTTCCTACCTCTTTTTACCACAAGCCACTTAAGCCTTACCATGATCGTATCCATTGAGCTTTTGAAATAGGGAAGGCACTCCAGCACTCTTACTGTTATGATTTCTAATCCCTGTGAGGTAGAGAGGAAAAGTGGAGATGGTTGATAACGACTATTTTTTAAGTATGGGATTTCCATAAAGATCCATGTCCTAAGACAGATGGAAGGCCACCTATTTATCTGCAAAGTTTAAATTCATTTTCCCATTGACTGCCAACTTCACTTCATCAATTACACCCTCTTTGATCCATTTTTAATTAAAAAAAAAAACTGTTGGGTCGACATCTTGATTCATTGGGAGTCTGTCAAATTAAGTTAAATGTGAGGATGTGTTAGGACTGGGAGTTGGGGGTGGGTGAAAGATTAGTTACTTGGCCCCAGGCTTGACCCTGGCATAGCCTCGGGTGCCACAGCGAGGCCAGTTGGGGCCAGGGAAGATTCTGCTGTAGCATAGATGTAGATAGTAGGCCTTTCCTGGTGGAATTGTTTAAAGACTAATTTAGGAGATTTATGAGCATTCATTATACTTTTGTTATATTTAAAGAAAATGAAAAACTGCTTTTGGGGAATGACAAGTGATAATAACTACAGAATACTGTATTCAAGTGTGTATTTTAATGTTCTCTGGATTCTCTGCGAACGTTCTATGGCATACTTTGTTTTGTGCACCTGAGTAAGAGGTTCAGCTGACCAGTGCTTATAGAAGCACCTTGCCTAGAAACCAGCCATTATAGAAACAACTCATCTTTTATGACTCACTGGGTATAAGAAGATTCCAAACTTTAAGACCCAGTGGTAAAAGGATATTAAGTAAATGTAACAACAGAGACAAATATGTCCAATTATGGCTGCTAAAACCCGAAATTACATTATACTGCTCTAGTACAGTAGATTGTAAAATTTGGTTAGTATTTTTTAAGTACCCACTAGGTCTAAAGCACTTTAACATGTACTAATAATATATTTAACTCTTAATAAACCTGTGTGGAAAGAC